TCACTAACGCACCCTCACCCTTATATGCATCTGTCTATAATTTACGTTTTCATCCCTTTTTTTTTCATCAGTAGCGGATCTGTCTAGTAAAACATTACACAACGCTATAGTAGATATAACGCATCACAAGCATGTTAAATGAAGCTAAATAAAAAGTATGTTCAATCGAACGACGTCTTTTTATTCTTGATTAAGTAAACGAAGAACAAGAAAAAGCTGAATATGAATTGATAATAAAAGGAAAATGTTTTGAATTGGAATACAATTCCTGGAGTTCTATCAATATTCGTCATCCAATTCGCTTCTGTCTCAAGATCGTACGGACCATTACTGAGTACAACCAAAACAAGGAGTACCAGTACAACGAGTATGACAACCAGAAAGTTTTAGAGGAATGATTGGACTTTGCAACAGTTGTCGAACTTCTTCACGTCTTGGCATCATAGAGTCAATGTTGAGTTCCTTGAAGTCGAAACAGGAAGCGGCTACGAAGCAAACCATGCATAGAAAGAGAGCAAGTAATGATTTATTCATTAGGATTGTTATTGATGAGATGGTAATGCTTTTCTAAAATAGATGGACACATGGTTATCTTTGCCTTTCAAGAAGACAAGAAAAGGTACTGTGTTCAAAAAATATTTTGACCGTGACGCCTATTTAAAAATACACTCACGAAAATGGCAATGACTGTAACTTACATATTATATTGTTATGAAAAAAGTGTTATTCTCATCAAATATCTTTCCACCTCGGGATTCTTAGGAAAAAAGCTTGTCAGCGCAGCTCCTTTGGAGCTGAAATGTTGAACTCACATATCTTCTTCAGCTTCATTATACTAATATGAAATATAGAAAGTATAAAATCGAGAATTTTTAAGTTTTCTAATTTTCTGACAGGCGCCCTTATTTTTCGTTTTCATTGTTGCTATTCGTTCAGTATTTTTCATTTTTCACAATTTTTTTTCTCTGAATTATATATTTTTTTTATTATAATCAGTGAATTAATTGGCAAATACGTCTGCTTTACATATCGATTATATATACAGCAGATCTTATGCACTATTATATATATTAATCAACTCACAAATAATGATGTTGATTATCTTTCAAAATTTAACTTCATGGATTTTGCAAAAAACTATAGAAAGTCTGACGCGTGTTATTCTCGATTGCTAAGGTCTGCAATGGGGGTGTCTGTAATGGGGGGTGTCTGTAATGTGGGCCTGTCTGTAATGGGGGCTATGTCTGTAATGTTCTTTTCCTCGTTGCTATGGTCTGTAATGGGGGCCTGTCTGTAAGGGGAGGGGGGGGGGGAAGCCGCCAAACCTCGAACTTAAAACTTACACTCACTATTTTCTTCGAAAATATATGTGAGTTCCACAAAACCTATTGAAAACAGTAAGGAATGCAACTAGTGACCTATATCGGAGTCAGAAAGACTCCCCAATGTGGAAGAAAACGGAAAAACATGGGTACGCCATAAGTGAATATGCAATTCAAAATATTACGGAACCAGGTTTTTTTTCTAATCCCTCCGCTTTTTGGAGTATTTCGAACACCAATGTTAGTCACTAGATGCATCCAGCAGAAATATTTGGGGTTTGTTGTGCTTGATTTGCGTTCGGATTTGGATTTGGATTCGATTGGGCTTTGGGAGTAGGTGTTGGGAGTTTATTTTTCGACGTCGTTTGTGGATTTAGGTTTATATTTGGCCTTATATTGACACAAATTTTAAGACTTTCACAAGATAAGATATTCACAACAACGGTATACTTCCATACGTATGTGCTTCGTCCGCAAAAATGATTTTAAAATTTGAGATCGAATCCTTAGTATTCAGTTTAGATGTGACTCAAACTTTGATTGTTTTGTGAACGTTGCTCAGACTTAGTGAAGTATACTGTCATTGCTGACATTTCATCTTGTCAAACATTTAAGGTTTCAATCATTTTCAGATTCGATTCAAATCCAACTTCAGACCGAGTTTTGGAACAGATACATTATATTTTGCATCGGTTATTATTTTTTCTTAGCGTATGTATTGTTCTAGACTAGTTCCTGAAGAAAATCGAATAGTGATTTCAAATCTGTCAGTTCGCACTTTTCTTGAAGTTTGACGTGAGGGCATTGGCAGTTTGCTCTAGGATTTCATTCACAGATACAGATGCGTATGACCTAGTAAGTGATGAGTCGGAAGAGACACTCCTTTCGAGTAGGAACAAGCGACACAGAGCGGCTTCGGTATCCTTATATAAAAGACCTTTTCACAGAAGCTTTTGGAGAAAGTTTTTCATGTTTTTTGTCGGATGATCGACTACGATAAAAAATAATGCCAAGAATATCACTCGATCTAGGGTATGGTTTTGTTTTTCAGTACTATGTAATTGTTTCGATACTCCGATTTCAGGATTGAGTCAGGCAAGGCTTAATGACTGACGAATTACTTCTAAATTTAAAGGAGTTGACAAAAAATTCTTGAGAAGAGAAAAATGAATATTACGTCACTATTTATTTTTTCTAAATAATAAGCTTATATGGGAGGAAATATCCGGATGACTTCCTCTCAATATTTGTTTCCCAGAATCAATCAAAAAAAACCTATTAAATGGAAGAACAGGTGAACACTGGCAGATTTATAGAACATGTCAGATCATATAGAACTTATGACAACTGAACTTTTTTGACGCGATATGCATCATCTTCATGTACCTGAATTCAATTCTATGTATGTTTTCCATGGAAGAGTCTATGGCTAATGGTAAAACCTATGAATTTTCAGTAACAACACTGAAGAATCAATATAATGTGTCCTTATTTTCAGTAGTGTACATAGAAAATGTTTCCACAATGATAGCCTAGCAAAGCTATCATTTAATAGAAGCCAAGTATTGTTTTTCCCGGGATAAGACATATTCACTCTAAAGAAAATCATATAATGCACAAACCCGTATTTAGGAGAAGAACTTTTCAGGTTATATATAAGCGTAATAAACCTTAAAGTTAGTTCTTCGCCATATAGTCTCGATAATATGCCACTTTTATAATATTAAAGGTGCACGGGGAAAAAAATCATTTAGAATATCGCAGGCTTATGAGAAGTGTCATTAACAGGTGTGCATTAATCTCATAGAGCTGTCCTGGAATGAAACACCATTACTCATATTGGCTAGTGTGTCATGTACAAAAATATTTACATCATCTTACACAATCAGAAAACGTATGATGAAAAAAAATAGAGAGGCAAAAGCGTCATGTGTACATATGCTTATCAAGGTTTACTTTAGTCATAAGACCTTTGTCCTTTGATGATTGAATTTGAATGGTCGTCATTCCATCAGAAGAATAGAAAAAACTTCCATATTGATGAATAGCAGAATGTAAATCATATCAAACAAATAAAAGGAAAGAGAAAGGAAGAGCACGAGTATATTTGTCGTTTTCTTGCTGAGTCTGACGTAAGGTGATCAATATTCCTTCGAAAATTGAAAAGGTAATGTAATGAATGCGGCATAACATTTTTCTTATTGTATTTGATGAATATGTTCATCAAATTTCATCGTAAAGAGTTAAGTTTAGTGTCAAGAGAGAGAGAGATCATTCGATTTTATACAAAATGCTCTATTTCATGAAACAAATTCATCAATTATAAGTTTTAAGGACTTGATGAAAATGCTTTAACATCAATCATAACGGTTATCCAATGTTCGATTTTGAAATTTTTTCACTGCATTTTCGAAGTATCTCATAAGCATTGGCTTCTTCACTATATATTCCAAAGAATTGTCTCAGCGAAATCTATAAAAACTTTATCTCTACAGAAACTAGCATTATCTGAAAAAAAATCAAGCTTTTGAGACAAGTGAAATGTGCTGTGAAATAATTTTAAAAGCAAGCATTTGGTAACAATTGCCATTGATGTTTTCAATATTTCCATTAATCGCTAGTAAGTGATGATTGCAATCAAAATATATCAATTTGTAGAGAATTTAATGTTCGTCTTTTGAAACTAAACTCATCTCTCTATGAGGAAATCTAATCAAGATATTCACAAAATACGAAAGGGGCATAGTTTATACGGTACCCATTCATAAGTATATGTGAATGAAGAGCAAAGTACAACAAAAAAGTCATAGTCTTTGAAATGTATACAGGAAGAATAGCCATATATTTATGCATATACTTTTAGATTTTACATATTCTTATTATTTAACAGTTATACAACTAACGAGGGAACCTATTCAACTGTCCAATCGCTTTTGAGTTCGAACTCAGTTTGAAAGATAGACCCCAGTGAGGTATGAAAAGGCCCAAAAGGATAAGTGCCCATAGGCCTTCCGTCCAGAGTTATAGGCATTTTACTAGATTTTTAGCCTATGGCACAGTATATACCAAAAAATCGAATGACAATATTTCGAGCTGAGATTATGTCCAAAGATAGGTCTATGTACCAATAGAATGCCCTGAATATTTCAGCTCAAAAGAATGTTCCAGTCTCGAGATATTGAACACCCAAAAGCCAAAAAATTCTAGCATCATTCGCGGGATATGCGTGATTTTTGGGAGTTTAATATCCCGAGATTGAAACATTCTTTTGAGCTGAAATTTTCAGGGCATTCTATTGGTACATAGACCTATCGTTGGACGAAATCTCAGCTCGAAATATTGTCATTCGATTTTTTGGTATATACTGTGCCATAGGCTAAAAATCTAGTAAAATGCCTATAACTCTGGACGGAAGGCCTATGGGCACTTATCCTTTTGGGCCTTTTCATACCTCACTGGGGTCTATCTTTCAAACTGAGTTCAAACTCAAAAGCGATTGGACAGTTGAATAGGTTCCCTCGTAAGATGAAACTAACGTGTAAGTTTATTTTTTCGAATATAGTATTTTTTGATGTTTTGTTTCCTTTTTTTTTAGTCATTTTTACTCTATTATTCTTGCATTCGCTTGAGTTTTCTGTTTTGTGTTTTGATGTTATAACAATACCAGATGAAGATCTGATGTATTTAAATGAACGATTACAATTACATGAACATATGAATAAAGAAGATGCCTTAAATTCAATTATTGAATTAGAAAATTTTTATACAGGATTAAAAAGTAAATTACGTGGTTCACCATCAGAAATGGTTGATAAAGCATGGCATGCACATATATTAAATACACCAATGTATTTTCGTTTTTCTGAAACAATGTTTGGGAAATATCTGCATCATTTACCATTTTGGTCTGGTAATAGAGAACAGGCAGCAGAGCTTGTTGATGATATACCAATGTTTGAAAAATTGAAAGCATTGGGTATTGAAAATATGAATGAAACTGTTTGGACATATCGATTAGAAAAAAAAATGGCGAATGATCTTCAATCAGAGAGAATAGAATAAATGTTGAATTATAAAAATACATGTTGTTCATACATATGTACAAACTTTTCATAGGTGTACTTTTCATTGTATTATTATTTTATTGTGATAATCAACAAAAAAGAAGTTGATTAGAAAAAAAGCAGAAATAAAAAAGAGATCCAAAAGAAATAACTGGAAGTACTGTGCACCTCAATTGATTTTCCTTCCTTTGTTTATTTTTTTGTTTTTTTCACTAGACTTCTTTTATTCATTAATCTCTTATATACAGGAAGAAAGCCCGGAACGTGCTGCATCTTGTGGTATATTTAGGTACAATAACAAATGCTGTTTGAAGTATAAAAAATGTATCGGAAAAAAGTGACATGTTTTTCCCCGCAAAATATTGCACAAATTTATGATTCATTTCAAAATAAAAAAAGAGTAAGTATTTTTGAAATAACTTTTGATAGCAATAAGATAGAGACCTGTGATTTTCATTATTTGAAAGAGGAGATCAATCTACATCGAATCTTATATTTCAGATATTTTTAGCAAACGTTTTCCAGGGTCTTAAGCTAAGTTTTGGGTGTGGGTGTGGGTGTGGGTGGGTGTGGGTGTGGGTGGGGTGGGTGGGTGTGGGTGGGGTTGGTGGGTGTGGGTGTGGGTGGGTGTGGGTGTGGGTGGG